GACGGGGGAAACACGTCGAAACGTTGCATAAAACTTTAACCAGTGATTGTTGTTCCATAAAGCTGTGTCTATATAATGTTTAGAAGAACTACACGATGGTCACTTGGGTATAGTTCGTATGAAGTTACTGTCTCGTCGTTATTGTTGGTGGCCAGGTATTGATTCTTCAATTGAAACTATATCACCAAGAATTGTAATGGTTGTTCTGATACCAGGAATAATCCAAGTAAAGTACCACTTCATCCATGGATATGACTGACTACGCCTTGACAACGGATCCATATAAATTTTGCTGGACCATTCCAATCTTAAAATGTTTTTGGTAGTCGTCGACGGACATGTCATGATGTTTCCTCAGATATTCTACAAAAAAATTAAAATTGGTTTGTTTCGATTTTCTTTAAGAATCCTTCACTTTGACCCATATTTCATGAGCAACCAACTCGGCAACGGCTGCAAAATGTGTCACCTATTTTCGTGTACAAGGTTCTTGACTGTATATGTCAAAATTTGGGTATTTTACTAACTCCAATTAAACAAGAAAACCTTGATTATTTCAGTATAACTTTTTCCATGAATCAAACCTTATATAAGTAAGGGACAATAGCCCAGGCTTAGAATCTGCAAAAAAAATTAAATCCAATTTAACACAATATCTTACAGAAAATAGACTCAATTTGAAAACAAGTAAGCCATTTTGTTTTTGGACTACTTTTTGACGAATGAGTATGGTGGCCTATACCTGCATTGAGTCTTTGCATCTTTCTAACCTAGGCTACATGTATACTCCTACTATGTAACATCACTATACTAGGGGTGACAAAAGCACTCTACCTGTATAGCCTGTTAGATATCAAAATCATGTTACATGTTGAGTTATTATTTGTTGCTTCATCCCGTAGACCTGGAATTTGGATCTAACCAATCTAGGCCCAATCAGATTCAACAGACTCTATTTTGGGTTTACTAGTAGATTAACAAGAAAACCTGTGAGTTTTATCAAAGAAGATGCAAAGGGTTTTGTTATTCAGTCGCGGGAAACTAAATTTATTTTCTTTACTAACTCCGTGTATGGACAGTGATTGTAGCCTAGGCCTGTATTTTAGGTACTTGGCAAGAATCGCCAGACAGATGTGTTATATCTGCATTTCGTAGTATGTTTGTTTAGTTTGAGAATCCGCCATTTTGTTTACAACGTTATGCATGGATGATTAACATGTTGAATTGTGACTCTATCTCAATATATTTGATAAAATAAGACTCGACTGTTGCAGTGGGATTATGCGAGATTATGTGGAAGTAAGTTTGAAAGTTGTCAGTTATGTCATTATCGATATCTATGGGAGTAGTATGAAATTTTGTTATATTTTGACTGAGAAAATTTTGCATTGAAATTTAAAGGAATTGCTTCCTATAATTTTGATCTAAATGTTATTCTGTCCATTTTGAAAATTTGTATCTATGGACCCCATGTCATGCTTTGAAATAAATTTTGTTAAAATTTTCAACAGATTTCAAAATGGCTGAGGTTTACTTTGCCCTTAATTAGCCACAACGGAACATAACAATGACCAGTTGGAAAATTAGTTGTTTTTATACGGATAAGGTCCTTACTTAACAATAATATTTGCAAATGTCACTAGAAGTGGTATCAACGAATAGACAGACAAAACTACTTGACACTATTTTCCTCTCCCTTGTCATTAGACAAATAAATTACTTGTTTTCTATCAAGATTTATGTCTAAGCTCTTTACGACTGTTACAATAGATAATCATTCTGAAACATTTGGTTTAAACAATTGTTTATTTTAAGAGTATACTAAAAAAGAATTCTGACTGTTTTCAGAAGCAATCAGAAACCAGGTCCGTAGGTTGTTCTGAGGGGCAAGTAATATTTCCGAAGGGGCAATGGTGGGCACAGAATCTATCAACGAAATTGGTGATGGAGAACCACCAAAGGACGCAACATCAATAACTTTTCCTTGTAGCCGTCAGTCAGAAGAAGTAGATATATATTTTTCGATATAAAAGCTTAATATACAGATCCGACGAAATGCCCTTAGGCAAACCTACAAAATGCGATATTCACTTTTTGTGTTATTTTCATTAATGGTCGTTGTGACGATTTTTCGATTATCTGCCTGAGATTGTTGTCTGTACTGTTCTGTCTGTATTGTACACACATTGTATTACTACTCTTTTTTGTAGTACTCTGTTGTTGTATTATAGAATTGTGTATATTTTATCTAAAGTGGTCGTTTCGTTACAGCACCTTCTAAATAGTCTCGTAGACAAAATATTTTTTGATAGATGATTTAATAGCCTAAGAAGTATGTCAATTGCTCTAACGAATTTTCCTTACCCATCCATCACATTGACAGTTTAAATTTGTAACAAAATGCATTATACCATAAAAATTGTAAAAAGAGAAATTTGATCCCATAATGCACAATTTTTAAATTGGAAAATAATTTGATAAGAACGTTATGATTGATGGTAATCTTGTCGAAAAAGGTTTTATATCAATTATATGTATAAGGCGGAGAGAATACTATTAAATATAATATAATGATAACAAATTAATCTTTTTAGCACGTTTTGAAAGTAAACATGCCTACTTAAGCTACAATTCCTGTTTTCTATTTAGAATTAGTTTCTGTATGTTGTGTATATAACTGTACTTTTTCAACACAAATACATGTAGAACACATTTTGTATCAGATATCACTTAACTTCCTCAAATTTCATTGAACATAGAACGAGGTCAAAATTTTGTGGATTGCACTGAGAATGATATTTAGACTACCATGATGATCTTCGGAACTGGAGCTTCATATTCTGGTGTTTCACTTTGCGTTTGGTACTTTGGTTAAGTTATTTAGTTTGGGTTTAAACTATATCAGACCTTTGACATCAACGATCCCATCCTCCAAGAAGGACAAGTCCGTGCCGCCACCGGTAGACCCTGGCTGGCGGGATAGATTCCGTGCTATTCCAACGCGTGCTTGAAGACGTTCTCACGGTTCCTTGAACTATCTCCTCAGAGTTCTTTGAAGTATTTAGCCTTATATGGAGCTTACCATCCATTTTAAGCTGCGATCCCAAGCATCTTTGCGCCGAGCAAAATACTTAGAAAATGATCGTAAGGTCTCACACCTGTCCCGCAGGACTTGTGTCATAAACTGTAAATTTATTTTAAAGATATTGTGATATCTTCATGCCAAAATGTCCTCTACGACCTAGGACATATAACTGTCGTCAATTAAAAAAACATTAAATGGCAGAGGTACCAGACGTTTGAACAATGAGACATATTTGAAAATGAACTTAATCTGCAGAATGCGAATATTTAACTGACTATTTTCACAGTTTTTTCCCAGATAATCACAGGTTATTCGAATCTGTGAGTTTATTATTAAGTCCAACTTAAATCTCTCCTGTAGGTAATTTAATCTGAAGCTCGAACCACAACCAATAAGACATGTAAGTCATCAACTTTAAGAGTGAATAATAAGCCAAATAACACAACTTTTAATCTCGGGTTTAAATACATAATACGGGATTAGCTGGGATAGGCGCAACAAAAACTCTATTAATCTTAATATCACACATATTTCTTCATATTTTTAGCCTAACCGTCTGAGATGGATCTTAATTCTTATCACCAGCTTTAATTTGGCTTCCAGATTCAACTTCTTGCAAGATTTATTTTCTAATTTGGAAACCAGACAGTACCGAAGCCCGTTCAAAGGTTTTTTACAGTTTAGCTGCAGTGAATTTTTTAATTGCCTCATTAATGTTTTGTCAATATATGAACTGAAATTTAGATAGGTTCTCTCATCAATAACTCTCTGTATGCGAATCAATCGTTTCATTTGTCGCTCGGGTGTTACATCACAACATTAATTCACCGAGGCAAGGTAACATACGCCCACTGACAGCTGTCAGAAATGATAAAACAGTCTCAAGTGACTAAAAATACAAATGTTCTCGAATTTTATTAGTTTGAATTAGATTACATTATATATATGCCAGTTATTTACGAACACATTTTGACGCGTTTTTAAAAAGTCAAGGGCAGTAACTCAAAAACCGTTCATCGAAAATGCGTCAAGTTAGAATTTGTCCGAGATCTTATCATTGATCACACCAAGTTTCCCCAAAATCGGTTTAAAACTGTAGCTTCTATTGTGCTCACAAACAAATTTTGAAGCTTTTTACAAAGTCAAAGGCAATAACTCCAAAACCGTCGATCGAAAATGCGTCAAGTTGGAACTTGTCCGAGATCTTATCAATTCCAATGATCACACCAAGTTTCATCAGAATCGTTTGAAAACTGTATCTTCAATCCTGCTCACGAACTATTTTTAACAAATTTAATTGTTTAATTTTAACAAGTCAATGGCAATAACTCAAAAACCGTTCATCGAAAATGCGTCAAGTTAGAACTTGTCCGAGATCTTGTCAATTCAAATGATCACACCAAGTTTCATCAGAATCGTTTAAAAACTGTATCTTCAATCCTGCTCACGAACTATTTTTAACAAATTTCGACGCGTTTTAACAAAGTCAAGGGCAATAACTGAAAAACCGTTCATCAAAAATGCGTCAAGTTAGAACTTATCTTATCAATGTAAAGCATCACACCAAGTTTTATCAAAATCAGATGAAAACTGTAGTCTCTATAGTGCTTACAAGAAATGTGACGGACAGGTGCGATGACAATATACGACCACATATTCATGTGGACTTATAAAAATGACTTGGTAACATGACACATATACCAACCGTAAGAATTAAAGATCAACCATCGAGTTGGAATTTTCACGGCTGACCAAATCCACATGCCATTGATGCGTGGTATTCGTTTTGGCAAATGTCTTGTTTTGATGAGATTAGATACCGATGACTCAGCTAGTGGAAACCAAACAGAACTTTTTCAATAGCACACTGCATGATGTTCTCTAAAGCACACTACATGGCGTTCTCTAAAGCACACTAATGATGTTCTCTAAAGCACACTAAATGATGTTCTCTAAAGCACACTACATGATGTTCTCTAAAGCACACTACATGATGTTCTCTAAAGCACACTACATGATGTTCTCTAAAGCACACTACATGATGTTCTCTAAAGCACACTACATGATGTTCTCTAACACACACTACATGACGTTCTCTAAAGCACATTGCATGATGTTCTCTAAAGCACACTACATGATGTTCTCTAAAGCACACTACATGATGTTCTCTAAAGCACACTACATGATGTTCTCTAAAGCACACTACATGATGTTCTCTAAAGCACACTACATGATGTTCTCTAAAGCACACTACATGGCGTTCTCTAAAGCACACTACATGATGTTCTCTAAAGCACACTACATGATGTTCTCTAAAGCACACTACATGATGTTCTCTAAAGCACACTACATGATGTTCTCTAACACACACTACATGGCGTTCTCTAAAGCACACTACATGATGTTCTCTAACACACACTACATGGCGTTCTCTAAAGCACACTACATGATGTTCTCTAAAGCACACTAATGATGTTCTCTAAAGCACACTACATGATGTTCTCTAAAGCACACTACATGATGTTCTCTAAAGCACACTACATGATGTTCTCTAACAAACACTACATGATGTTCTCTAAAGCACACTACATGATGTTCTCTAAAGCACACTACATGATGTTCTCTAACACACCCTACATGATGTTCTCTAAAGCACACTACATGATGTTCTCTAAAGCACACTACATGATGTTCTCTAACAAACACTACATGATGTTCTCTAAAGCACACTACATGATGTTCTCTAAAGCACACTACATGATGTTCTCTAACACACCCTACATGATGTTCTCTAAAGCACACTACATGATGTTCTCTAAAGCGTACTATATGGTGTTCTCTAAAGCACACTACATGATGTTCTCTAAAGCACACTACATGATGTTCTCTAAAGCACACTACATGATGTTCTCTAACACACCCTACATGATGTTCTCTAAAGCACACTACATGATGTTCTCTAAAGCGTACTATATGGTGTTCTCTAAAGCACACTACATGATGTTCTCTAAAGCACACTACATGGTGTTCTCTAAAGCACACTACATGATGTTGTTTAAAGCACGGTAAGTGGTGTTGATGTTCTTTAATTCTATTCTTTTCCTTATACCATTATTAGTACCTGGCATTATAAGAACCTGAAATAAAGCTCTTTTGTTACAACTCAACATCTGCTGTAATTGTACATTTCATGGCGGTCCTCGTGGTTAAATTCAATACGCTATCTGAGTAGATTTACTTCATTGAACTGGTAATTAGTTCTTAAATAATGTCACAATTACATCCAGAGGGAACAAAAACAATCTTCTCGTATAGTCTTGAGTTATCGACTTGTGACGAAACTTCATTAGGAAACTCATTTAACATTTTCATTGATGAAAATTGTGTCGACTATTTTCATGGAAGAGTAAAAACTATTTTCTAGGGTGGTACAGTAATGTAAATCAATCAAAACTAAATAGGTTGTTGTAAATTGCATTAACTCTACGACCTGCTAATAGAGGAGAGATATGGTAGTCATTCGTGCAGAGTCGACAGATTAACAGACATAAAGCTAATCATTATAAAACATCGAATTGCTAGTATATATATCAAAAGGCTTTATAACAATAGTGGATATTAAAAATGCTCAAAAGTTTAAATAAGTATCATACAAAAATTTTTATCACCAAAAATAAAGATAAAATAGCTATTGTCTGAGCAAAGGAAACTACTTTTTAAATTTTATCCATTTTTATGAGAATTGGAATAGCAGCCTCAGAATAGTACTGTTAGTCTTTGAATGTTTTTGCGTCGATAAAAATATACTTTTTTGTACGTTTACATTGAAAAGAAACACATTTAACTTCTAAAAATTTCAAACCAAAAACGTCACAAATTTTGGCGGAAAATTTGCTTCTATAGAAAAATTTTGAATACAAATCATGTATTCTCATGATTATATTTTTATCGACATAAGAAGACTATCAATTCTATTTTGATGATGCTATTCCAATTCTTATAAAAATAACTTTTTACTTTGTTCTGACAGTAATTAATATATCAAATGCTCTTTTTATAGCAGAAATCTAACGTATACTATGATCAATTATCAACGTAGTGAATTCTTATTATTTACAAATTAACCATGAATAATAACAGCAAGGTATAGTGAATTATATGGTTACCGCCAAACTTGTATTAAGCAAGGTGGTTGACTATTGAAGGCCATCGTACAACAATATTTGAAGGCATATCAGCAGATATCTAACGATAACAACAGAACACGGCTAACAACAATTGTAGAAGGCTAGGGTTAATAATAAAAAAACTAGCGGTATATAATATTAATATCATGACATAACGAGATATCGTCAATGATGGGCGGATCATTGATGACATTTTGCTTCAGATCGGTTTTCGTAAAATTGTGTTAATGAGGGGTTAATTAGTCAGGATATAAAAAAGACTGTGGCAGAAATGAACATATTGCACGCTAGCTGGTTTCAGTAAAGTTGTATCTACCTCGGTAATGAGGCGAGCCTCTTTGCCTTGATTTCTCACGTGATTTTAACTTCAGAGCCATGGGGAGATAATTTCGTCTGCATTCAATGCCATTTCATAATTATCTGTAATTCAATTATATCCTTTAAAATTGTATCGAATAAATGTATTCGAACTTTGTCTTTTAAAAATATCACTTGATGACAATCTCCAATAGTACCAGACGAAATAACCACCATATATGCTGCAAAACGTTAGCAGAACTTTTACTGTGACCGTTTGACACACTGTTTATCCATTGATTACATTATATTTGGATAAAAAATATTTAATAAGGTTATCTTCCCTTGGGGATATAGAAACAACCTACACAGTTCTACATTCTTGTAGGATAACCTCAACCTTTTCAAAATTGACCTTGCCTTTCAGTCATTTCAGAACAATAATTGCTCCTGTCAAACTTCTCCACCTCAAGAACAATAGATCAATGAATTTCAGCAAATATATCATATTTAGTCATATTGAGTCTCGCATCTGAGGAGATGTTATATTGCCTTTGCTGGTCAATCGAATTTCACCAGTTAATGTTCTCTTTCGTATAAAATCAGCTGAAACGTAGTACTGCCGGAGAATGACATTACAAAATATAAAATTTAAAGCTAACATATACAAAAACAAAAATTGCCCTCAGTTAAAAACAATTTTATAATATGGTATGTGCCCATATGAAACACTTTTCTAATCAGCGTAATCATTTCTAGAGTATCAGTAAACTTTTGAAACTGTTTTCAAAATTCTCTTAAAAGCCTGTAAATTTCCACCAATCGGCTATTTAGCAAAAATTTCACATAAATAACTTATATTTCAAATAATATATATCACATATCACAATATTAAAATATTCTCACTGTTTAATTAGTGCTCAAAATATCAAATGTAAAGCGATATAGAAATATTAAAACAGAACTTGAATCATGTTGTTACTCGGTTTCACGCTATGCCATCCTCAGACAACTGACCTATTTTCAGTCTGCGACCCTCTGAAGTTCGACAAGTACTATTAAGCGTGAAACTCTTGAGTAACACCATGATAATAGATCAGTTGTATGAAGATCGCATAAAGTGAAACCCTGAGTAACAATATAATTCAAGTGTTTTAATATTTCTATATTTCAAATTTTGTTTTTATACTTGATTTCAAGAGCTTATAGTTCGAGTAAGAACGCCGTGAGCGAATTGTCAGCGTTGTAAACTTGTTGGTATGTAAAGATATTGCTAAAATCCATTATAAAAAGAAAATTTTATTTGACCAACACTGACAGAAGGTGATATTTCTTGGTTACCCCAGCAGTTATTCCCTTATATTCTTATAAAATCAAATTTAACAAGAATCCTCCCTGTATGCTGGCGTGGTGCCTGCCAAGAAAAACTGTTAAAAGGGTTATTATTCCCCTGTTAACAATATATTCCAATAAAGCCAAATCAAAATAAACAATTTTACTTTCAGCATGTTAAATTATTAATATATTTCTTTCAATATGTAAGAGGAAAAGTTGTCAATGGACTCGGAATGAAATTAAGGCCATTTCTTTTTCTTGAATTTTGGAAAGAATTATATGTTAAAGTCACATATTAATTTATATATTATATTACAATAATAAAATATCTTAACTGTTAAAATAGTGCTCAATACATGTACATCAATTGTAGAGCGATATAGAAATATTTTTTTAGGTTCTGTATTAATATTTCTATATCGCTTTACAATTGATGTATTGAGCACTAGTCTCACGAGCATCTTTAATTTAACCGACTGATAGAAAATAATTCCATCTATCTGTGTTACGTCTAGGAATGTTAATATGACTCGGTTCTATAAATTGTGTCATTTTGATTCAAGTTGAAATATATTTTGATTTCTAGTATGTTTATAATGGTTAGAGTATAGAAAAACAGTGCTTGTTGTTTCCTTCTACAGGCTTTTTTCTTACTTAGATTTCTTTACATCAGTGGCTAGGCAGGATTTTTGCGGACGTTTTGTCCCCCATGACTGAATTCATCGACAATAATTCGAAAATATAATCATCTAGTAGGTTAATCTCTATCATTATTTTTTTATTTTAAACGAAAGAAGCGCGTGTCTTACCTTTAATTTAACGATGTTTCGGGAATTCTGTAACTTTCCATTTTAGATCTTAATAAATGTTAAGTTGTTATCCGCATGTTTCACATCACGAATACACTACAGAAACATGTCTGCATCACATATACTAATTATTAAAGGTGTCTTAAATTGTTTCCAATGATGTCAGTAGAGTATTAGATCGGAGCAGCAGAAAATCCAAACTAGGTCTAAACTAGATATAACCTAACGATTTTACGACAGTAATTGTTTTCTAGTACAATAAAAGTAATCTTTTACACAAGAGTTCTCAAGTGTTTCTTTACAACTTGATGAGGGACTTGTTTTTAGATTAGCCTTATCTTACAGACAAACAAATTCACCTTAGAGAATACAAATCCATCATCAATTCACGTCAATATTCACCTCGAATTTTATCAAGCCCAGAATCAAATTAATCAATTCGACACTTTCTTGAATTTGATATATTTCCTCGTTTTCCACAAATAAAATTAATCAATGTTAATGAAGTTCTAAAGACAGTAAGACTCTTTCAAATTCAATTAAATTTTCCAAGCTCATCACTGTACTCTTTCTGCGCTTTGTGGTAAAATATATAACGTTCGTTCACTTTATAAATTACAGCGGTGCTGTGACCAAACCCTTGATATGGTTTTCAATATCTGTAAACCACTGAATAAGATATTTAATGGATAGTAACGGTAATGATGTCTCTATCACCAAGTATTGCCTTAATAATGATAGAATTTGATTACGGATGATGTAGAAACTATACCAACTCCACTATATCACGCTCGCTATTGATCACTCATATCACATGTGTGACATGTTATTGCGTCACAAAACAAACAATTTAATGCTTTGAGAGTGTTCATAACAATTCGAAATATCACCAAAAGTATTTCAAAAGTGGCTCTGATGACATCCTGAGCAAAGGCGAAACTCCGGACACTGTTTCGGATCTCTGCACTTTGCTTTGTTTAAATACAAGATCTATTTCCAAGGTAATTAAGAAGTGTAAATTGATAAAGATTAGTTACCATATTAAACTTCATGTACCATTTATTATATCATCAAGATATTTGTAATTATTACATATCTATTCTAGGTATGTTGTGAAATATGTCCCACTGGTCAATGATCGCTCTCATTGCCTGTTAGTAGGCACATAGTACCTCAGCGTTTTTTTGGACACTTTCGAATAGATTAGCTATTAATTCCGTTTTATAAACCTCATACTAGGGACCTAATGATATCATGTGATTTTCAAACGTGACAATCAAAATGCTAATCAAAAAGTCAAAAAGGACCGTAAAACAGTTGCCAGAAGTTAAAACTTACTAAACAACAATTTTGAATAACAATATAATAATACAAGTGCCTTCAGAAATAATGAAACCTTAAGAAAATTAAAAAGAGACAGAAATACCATTAAGGAAAGATTAAGATTCTATCAGCGATCAACCATGTAACAACAACAGTTTTCAATTAACAAAAACCATCAAAGACTGATATCACTGTAGGGAGTGAAAGTCACTGCTTAATGTTGATGGTAATAAAGGGGTGGAGGGAGTGGATGTCACTGTTGAATGTTGATGATAATAAAGGGGTGGAGGGAGTGTATGTCACTGCTTAATGTTGATGGTAATAAAGGGGTGGAGGGAGTGGATGTCACTGTTGAATGTTGATGATAATAAAGGGGTGGAGGGAGTGGATGTCACTGCTGAATGTTGAAGATAATAATGGGGTGGAGGGAGTGGATGTCACTGTTGAATGCTGATGATAATAATGGGGTGGAGGGAGAGGATGTCACTGTTGAATGCTGATGATAATAAAAGGGTGGAGGGAGAGGATGTCACTGCTGAATGTTGATGATAATAAATGGGTGGAGGGAGTGTATGTCACTGTTGAATGTTGATGGTAATAAAGGGGTGGAGGAAGTGGATGTCACTGTTGAATGTTGATGGTAATAAAGGGGAGGAGGGAGTGGATGTCACTGTTGAATGTTGATTGTAATAAAGGGGAGGAGGGAGTGGATGTCACTGTTGAATGCTGATGGTAATAAAGGGGTGGAGGGAGTGGATGTCACTGTTGAATGTTGATGATAATAAAGGGGTGGAGGGAGTGGATGTCACTGCTGAATGTTGATGATAATAATGGGGTGGAGGGAGTGGATGTCACTGTTGAATGTTGATGATAATAATGGGGTGGAGGGAGAGGATGTCACTGTTGAATGTTGATGGTAATAAAGGGGTGGAGGGAGTGGATGTCACTGCTGAATGTTGATGGTAATAAAGGGGTGAAGGGAGTGGATGTCACTGATGAATGCTGATGGTAATAAAGTGGTGGAGGGAGTGAAAGTCACTGCTGAATGTTGATGATAATAATGGGGAGGAGGGAGAGGATGTCACTGTTGAATGTTGATGACAATAATGGGATAGAGGGAGAGGATGTCACTATAAAATGTTGATGGTAATAAAGGGGTGCAGGGAGTGGATGTCACTGCTGAATATTGATGGTAATAAAGGGGAGGAGGGAGTTGATGTCACTGCTGAATGCTGATGGTAATAAACGGGTGGAGGAAGTGGATGTCACTGCTGAATGTTGATGGAAATAAAGGGGTGGAGGGAGAGGTTGTCACTGTTGAATGTTGATGGTAATGAAGAGGTGGAGGGAGAGGATGTCACTGTTGAATGTTGATGGTAATAAAGGGTTGGAGGGAGTGGATGTCACTGCTGAATGTTGATGGTAATAAAGGGGTAGAGGGAGAGGATGTCACTGTTGAATGTTGATGGTAATAAAGGGGAGGAGGGAATGGATGTCACTGCTGAACGTTGATGGTAATAAAGGGGTGGAGGGAGAGGATGTCACTGTTGCATGTTAATGGTAATAAAGGGGCGGAGGGAGTGGATGTCACTGTTGAATGTTGATGGTAATAAAGGGGAGGAGGGAGTGGATGTCACTGCTGAATGTTAATGGTAATAAAGGGGTGGAGGGAGTGGATGTCACTGTTGAATGTTGATGATAATAAGGGGGTGGAGGGAGAGGATGTCACTGTTGATTGTTGATGGTAATAAAGGGGTGGAGGGAGTGGATGTCACTGCTGAATGTTGATGGTAATAAAGGGGAGGAGGGAGTGGATGTCACTGTTGAATGTTGATGGTAATAAAGGGGAGGAGGGAGTGGATGTCACTGTTGAATGTTGATGGAAATAAAGGGGTGGAGGGAGAGGTTGTCACTGTTGAATGTTGATGGTAATAAAGGGGAGGAGGGAGTGGATGTCACTGCTGAATGTTGATGGTAATAAAGGGTTGGAGGAAGTGGATGTCACTGCTGAATGTTGATGGAAATAAAGGGGTGGAGGGAGAGGTTGTCACTATTGAATGTTGATGGTAATAAAGGGGAGGAGGGAGTGGATGTCACTGCTGAATGTTGATGGTAATAAAGGGGTGGAGGAAGTGGATGTCACTTCTGAATGTTGATGGAAATAAAGGGGTGGAGGGAGAGGATGTCACTGTTGAATGTTCATGGTAATAAAGTGGTGGAGGTAGAGGATGTCACTGTTGAATGTTGATGGTAATAAAGGGGTGGAGGGAGAGGATGTCACTGTTGAATGTTGATGATAATAAAGTGGTG